AATAACTTTCTCATTTGCAAGCAAAAATTCAATCCAGAGAAAAGCTTAGCATAAACAAGATGGGAACTGGAGAATCACTGTTTAAGTCTTAAGATCTCCTTGGCTTCTAACTTATAAGCTTGACAAGCAAATTTGTAAACAGTAAGTTACTCATCTCAGCTGTAAACTGTTATTTTGTTAGTCTACTTAATTGACTCTGGCAATAAAACGAAGTATCTAACATAACTGAGGTAGGGTGAGGTCTTCTTTGTTATTGCTGCATGCTTACCTACAAGTCTGGATTTATCACAAGGAATTCCCTCAAACTTTTGGTTAACAATGAGGATACATACCATCACATTCACCAACAAAACTTCTCATGAGATAACGAAATCTATTTAAATCAATGCGTATTAGTCACTGGTGGGATCTGGTTCAATGACTCACTGAGCAACTTTGTGAATCAGAGAACTAAATTAATTGCTTACCATAGCTCCTTCATTTCTCAAATCCAAACTATACTAAAAGGAAAACTGGATTCACTTTCACTGCAGAAGTGTTTCAAATTCTAACTTACTACCCTGTTTAACTCCTCTTCTGTCTCATGAGCACAATAAAGTTCATTTAAGTCACAGAAATGCAGAAGTACCAATAAACTTCCATCATTAATTACAACCTGCATTAGGTTCAGTTGCAACCTTGAGCTACTGAGTTCAGAGTCAAACTTTCCTAAAATATGTGAGGTCTGATTTGGAATCACTTTTACATAATTTATACACTGTATTCAACTGCTAGAGGGCACCTAAGACTTGCCTATTCCATCCTTACTCCTTCTGGAAAGTACATTTCTCATGCTAAGTCTTTTTTTCTTCCACTGCCTTATTTGCTCAAAGAGAAAAACCCTCACCCTAGTTTACTATAAACCTATTGGGCTCTGCAGATTTCTGTGTTTTAGTTTAGGAGTTCGTAAAGTATACACTGTATTCAACTGCTAGAGGGCACCTAAGACTTGCCTATTCCATCCTTACTCCTTCTGGAAAGTACATTTCTCATGCTAAGTCTTTTTTTCTTCCACTGCCTTATTTGCTCAAAGAGAAAAACCCTCACCCTAGTTTACTATAAACCTATTGGGCTCTGCAGATTTCTGTGTTTTAGTTTAGGAGTTCGTAAAGTCTGGTGTTTCTTCCATCCTGCTGTATGCATAGCCTTATATCTGTCTTATTGTGCTTATTTTTTACTGGGGGTTATCAGTGGCCACCAGGAGCAGGTGGTTTGCTTGCCTTATCATGTCAGGACAGAAGAAGGGACAGCCAGTTTGCCTCCTGGGGGTTTTCACACTGGGCTAACAAACAAGCATTGTCTGCTGCAGCTTTGGAGAGGGAGAGGAGCTGCTACATAGCTTCCCCTCAAGCTTCTGGCTTGATATCATCAACACAAACAAGTATCTGGTAGGTCATGCAGGTCTCCACAAGTTGCAGGGACTGACTCTAGAGGCTGAGGCAAGCATACACTCCTCACAATACAGAACCAAGGAGATTTTGGTGACACAGGGATATTTTACATTCAGTTTGGTATTCCAGAGTCATCTTAAGAGTCCCCAAACACAACAGTGGAAACTGTGCCTAGGAAAGCTTGCAACTAGGCAGAGAAAAGGCAGGAAGACACTAAAGCCCTGCATCTCTTCCAGACAGGATCCTGCACAATCCTCACAGCCCTGACAGCCTGGCACAGACACGGTGAAGGAACACTAACTTTCTATACATTGCAGAGAGGCACTGGAGGCATGTGTAGATGGCATCATAGATGTTAGCTCAAACAACAAGAAGCCAACATTAATCCAGTTGGCTTTGATTAGGGCTACATAAGATCTCATTTTCAGAGTGCAGGAAGTTTTCCTATCCAAAAAGACTTAATGGTGTCTTAAGTTACACAGCAACTTTACTGCAGGACTCCAGGAAAAACAAAAGATATGGTCTAGCCAGTGTTAACCCTTAATAGACAAAGTAGGGAAAAATCCACTCGTTTGACTGAAACTGCAAATATGCTAAACAAAGTTACATGTGAGTAACCTTTAGTCTGACATTAAATATCAATGCCCTGTACTTTTAAAAAAATGTCAATTTTCATAATGAGTGTCAGCTCTGCTCAAGAATGAGCTTCAGTGTTTTCCCGTACTTTAAAATAAGGCTGGTACTGTTATTTGGAATACTATTTCAGACAATAGAGGGAACAATCACTATTAAAGCTCAGTTTGTTAGTGAGAAGATGGAGTAATGCTTATACTGCATCTGTCTAGATTTCTGAGGATATTTACCATAAAATATTCTCTACCTCATCCTCCTTTACTCTAACAGCTTGCAGTATACAGTTGCTGGCTGTCAGTTACTGCCCCCCAAAAAATGCAACTAGTTCCAAAATTCACTGCAAGTATTAGGCACTCTTCAAAAGGACTGCAGTAGTGACATTGATGTATGCTTCTTTTTGACAGGATGTGCAGCACCATGGATTTTGCTGCTTATACGGCATACACGGCAGAAATGGCTTTAATAAACAAGTGTAGATGAACAAATAATATAAAAGCCTGTTTACTTCCTGGCAGAACACATGTCTGTGTGCTCTGAAAATGAGCATCTTCATTCACTTGTAGGCCACCAAGTGAGCCAGGCCCAGTGCACTTGCCATCTACAAAATCAGTAGTGGAATGCCTAGAAATCTCACTCCACTTTGCACTGAAAGATTAACCCAACACTACACAGAAAATAGTAAACACACAAAAACCTGAAAACAATGGGAAATCCAAAATCAGGATCATTGCTTTTCCTTACATAGAGATCACGACCAGCCATAGTGACTTATTTCAGATTATGGAGAAGTAGTAAAAGGAGTAGGTCAGAGGTCTGTGACAGAGCACAGGAATAAAAATCCCAGGTGCTCCACCTCCATCGGACCAGAGGTGTGTGCAGAGAGAGGCATCGCTTTCAAGTTCAGCAGTTACAGGTGAAGGGTTATGTGGAGTGTCCTGCTCCTTGCATGATCAAAGGCTGAGTATTCACCAGAACACCCCTTGTCACGGATCCCTCCCTAGACAGCCCACAGACAGGATCAGTGTTTCCCAGAAGCTGGCAGGATCTGAAGATTCATGTACGGGGGATAAAAGTGAAAGCCCTACCACCAGAAAAAAAATATTCAAGTTTTTGCTTTCTTTAGCCATGGAGAGGAAAGAACACATGAAGGGAATTTTAAATAACATGGACATATTCAAAATTAAAAGGAAATAATTAATATAGCCACACTTGAATTTGAAACCATATTCATTTCTACTTCATAAATGAAAAGAAGTGCTTTATTTTCTCTCATTCTTTATAAGGGCATGACCAGTAATACTTCCAGCTAGCCTAAACTAGTCTTTTTTTCCACATTTTTCTTTGGCAAGTTAGGACTAAATTATCCTCAGAGCTCTGTTCAACCAGCAGGTTGTTCCCTTTGTCCTGGCAAAACTGATGGACCCATCTTACTGCTTATGTCTTTCTACTTCAGTCACAGCAAGCCCTCTGATGGACTTACGATCCAGAAAATACCTTTTACCAGCAAGACTGATAGTAGCACTATGCCAGGTGGCAGTAACTTTACCAGTGTGGGTGAATGCAGTCCATCAAAGTCAAAATTTTTCCCTTCCTGTTAGCTCCTCTTCACTCCTGACTCCCAGCTAGTCCTCCTGCTTTGCAGTGGGCTTCCACTCTGTTCTCTGCTACCTTCCTCACTTCCCCAGGCACTCAGGCAAGGAGTTACAAAAAGGAGAATTAAAACTTTGTTTTCATAATTGCTCTTTAATGAAAAGCACCATCGCTAGAAGCTTAAAGGTGTCATCATTAAACTGTCAGAGTTTCAGTCTGTTTTGATGAAGATAGTAACAATTTGTTAGGAACTGCAGTGAGAGGACAAGGGGTAACAGTTTCAAGTTGAAGGAGAGGAAATTCAGGCTGGATATTGGGAAAATGTTTTTACTGTAAGGGTGGTGAGACACTGGCACAGGCTGCCCAGGGACGTAGTGGCTGCCCCAGCCCCGGCAATGTTCAAAGCCAGGCTGGATGAGGCCTTGAGCAACCTGTCTAGTGGGGAGGCGTCACTGCCCATGGCAGGGGGGGTTGGGACTAGATGATCTGTAAGGTCCATTCCAACCCTCAAAATTCTATGATTCCATGAATTTTTTTCAAAGGTTACATGGAGGGGTCTGTGCAGTACACAAGGACACATTGACATCTGCTTGTGTCTGAACACTGGACTTAACACAGCATCCAGGTTAAATGCTACAGGCCCCAAAACTAAGTGTTCACTGTTATTTTATTTAATTTTATTTTTTACACACTGGCAAATGGGTCTATATCAGTACTGAGAACCCATCAGGTGAAAAAAACCCAACAGTACCTCAATTTATTATTTTTCTTTTTACATTTGCCCTCCTTTATTTACAACAGTGGCAAAGTAAGTTCAATCAAAATGAGGTTAAGATTATTTTTAACAGATGTTCACTGCTGGCCTGACCCAAAATCCATTGACGTCAATGAGAAGACTCCATGGGGCTTTGGATTGGGTTCTAATTGTTGGAAAAATTAATGTTATTGTAAACCACTGGTCAGTGCTGTCACATGCTCCCCTTCTGTGCCAATTCTATATGACCGGATAACAGACTCACATAAATCTGTTCCAACTGTTGTCTAAGAGGCTAAAGGACACAGAGGTTTATCTTTTTAATTCTGAAGCACCCCTTCTTCTCCACAGCACACCCCATGGCCCTACTGTATTTATAGTTGCCAGATTCAGCATTACAGACACTATTCACACAATCAAAACATTTCACAGCCAAACACTGGGTGGGAATAATAGAATTATTACTGCTGACTGTGTGAAGACAGCTGAACTACAGATATACATGAGATGAGGCACTTTGGTCCACATACTTTCAACAGAGATTTGTATTTGTTTTTATTTAAATACAGACCTGAAGGAAGGGTTGCACTTACTGTTAAGAAGTCGGAAGTCTATAAATGGGTAGGAGCCACGGCGCTCGGAGAGAACCCCTGTCTGACCTCTCACCCGTGCATCTCCTGCGAAACAAAATCCCCAGAGACATTAGAAGGGGCAGCTGCCTTTCTCTGCTGTTTAGATCTACATCTACTTTTTATACAAAGCCATGACGTTATGCTCCTCCAGTGGGAAAACTAAGGTCCAAAAAATCATCTCCCATGACATCCCTGGGTAATTGGGTAAAGCACTACAGCTGATCCTCTTATCAGAACAAAGACAAAAAACCCTTCATTGCTGGCTGGGATTAGACCACAATGTTATCCTACTGAACAGCTTCTTGCCCAGCAAGCAGACTCTTAACTGCTTCGGGAGTAGTGCAGAGGTCTGTTTTTTTTCCCCAGTCAAGAACAGTTGGACTGTCACGGCATCACAAACTACAGTCTCAGCCTAGATTAGGCTCACAATCCAACTGACGTCCAAAGCTGTGGGACAGGTCTCAAAATCATAAGCTGATGAAAAAATCCAACAAAAAAGTATGAAGATTTTTTTGAAGTTAGGTAGGTTTTGGGGAGGGTTTGTTAAGTTTTGCTTGGTTTTGTTTTACCTTCTGCTCTTTGAGCAGTCTAGAAAATGTAAGCCTTCTTCTCAAATACTGCAGCTCATTTATGCAAGTGAAACATGATGTCCTCAGATAAGGATTACTCCAGAGCTTTAGGATGTGTATTTAAGTAAGACAAACTGACAGCACAGTACTAAGAATTAGTACTGCTGTGCAATTCACATTGATTAGTTCATAACTTACCTTGTAATTTTGATGAAATAGGCAATAATAATTTAAGGAAAAAAATGTTCCTCAGGATGAATAAGAGTTACAAAACCACTCTCTGAGTAGATAGGAAGTAGTGGGAAACAGATGTCAGTTTTATATTTCCATAACTTTAAATAATTTGTAGTTCAATGTAATTGTTTCTTTACAGACAATTAGCAAGACCAAAATATTACACATTCTTAAATAAGACGAGGTTTGGAGATTTTAGAGGTTCTAGTTAGAATACTCTAGTTCTTCGCCATCCCGACTGCTCCTCTACAGAACAGAGGTCACAGTGTTGAAAGCATACCCACTGCATGTCCTGATACAGCTCACACTGCAGTCTTCTCAAAGTTTGCAATAAAATTATGAATTATTAGTTAGTTTGAATTGTGCTTCCTCTGGGATACAAATAAAGCATCTGACTAAGCTAAACAACAATAATTGAAGAATTTGGCTGCTAGTGCTAGCTTCTACTGCTTGTGTTTAAAAACAAGAAAACATCTTCTAGCATAAAAGGACCTAGCTAGATGCTGTTGGGGTTTTTTTCCTATCTAAT